TCGCGTTCATATACACATATTTTCTGCTGTAGGAATGCACTTACTTGCTACGTTATTCCACTCTTATCACGAACGAAAGAGCAGACAGCAACTGGCAGTTAATTCGCTATTTACAGTGTCCACCATTCCGCATTACAAGTTCATACGGGAAAGTTCGGAAAGAAATAGACCGATACTTTACAGGCAAACGCTGATGATGCTTCAGGTATACATCTTGTTGAGCTAATCTGAATATTAATGAACTTCGTAATTAGAGCTATGTATATTCATAGATATCCATTTACTGCTCTACACAGTTAGAGAGTCTACTCATTTCTGTCTATATATTTTTAACTCACATATTCTTGGATTTGGTGGTATGTTTGAATAAAATGAATACTAATTATAATCAGCTTTGAGGACCGTTCACTCATTAAAGTTGCATACCATGTGAATGTTAACAAAATATACTAGTTCTAAATTTTATCCTCAAAATGGTTTTCGTTACTTTTTACAGTCGTTTTATTTTTCCGTCTATAATGCTACATATTAATAACATTAATTCACATTTAATTCATATAATGATCGTTAAGTTTATAAAACGTTATTAAAATTATTAAAATATATATAAATATTATGTTGGGGAACGCGGTAGCGTAGTTGGTTGATGCACTATGCTACAAGACGAAAGGTCGAGGGTTCGAATCCCGATGAGGTCATTGAATTTTTTCAATTTACTTAATCCTTCCAGCCACACTATGGCCCTGGTGTCGACTCAGCCTCTAACAGAAGTGAGTACCAGGAATATTCTTGGAATATTCTTGGGAGTAAAGGGCGGCCGGCGCGTAGGGTTGACAACCTTACGCCATCTATGAGCCGATTATCTAGAAAATGTGGGACCCTCAACATCTCACAACCCCATGACCTCCAAGGCCTGTTACAGGGATACCTTTACTTACTTTTACTTTACTTTATACATATTATGTTACTACATGTTTCGGCTTTACAAGGCCATCTTCAGGCAACACTTTTTAAGGATTCCATTTCTAATCATATTATATTCTTAAGATATACCGTTAATATTTCTTAATATATTTTGGTCTTTTTGAATTGCGGTTGTTTCTATGTCATATTAGATGTTTTAGATGATATTAGATTGTTTTTCTTTCTGCGTATCAGGCGCTGCCTGTACATCAATGCAACGAGATGCTGAATATAATATTATGCTCTTCGTTACATATGGAAACACATTAATATGCACTTGTTCCGTGAAGATTTAGCATAACTACAAATACAAGGGATGAGATGCATTTATAAAATTGATATTTCAATAAAAAGTGTGACGTAGTAATGGCTAGACACGGGGTTTTGATTTGTAATTGGATTTGCTGAGCGTTTACAACTCGTAACTACAAATGATTATAACACTCACTAATCAACACACACTACAAATCACTACCAGTAGAGCACACATAAACCCTCGATTATTCTGCCGTCAGTAATTGCTAGGTAACGGATACTAAGAAAGCAACTCAAGACTGCCTGCTAACTGCAGATTCCGACCTCCTACTTGGTTCTCGTTATATAACCTTGTCACGAACCGCACAGAAAATATTGCGTCCTACATTGTTGTGTCTGTATCTGTTGCAGCGGAAACGTGTTTACCGCTTCATTTCCTAACAATGGCCGCATTCATTCAAAACCACTTCTTCGGCTTTCAGCTGACATCTCACAATAAATTTTAAAATTTCGTAACGATATTGTATTAATATAATTATTGACTTTTTGGACATTATTAATTGTTCTGTTCTTATTTCAAACAACGTTTCGGAGATCTCGTGCACGTGACGTTTTGAAATGTCTGTCTTACCTCCCGCTGGTGGTTTCTGTTATGCTTAGTTCACATACTATGCCTTGTGTTGGTACTGGTGGGACAGGGGCTAGCTCAATTGATTTGGCCCAACTGATTAAGCTTTTTACTTCAGGACGAAGGTAGAGTCCGGTCTCCTAAACTTTTTAAAATAAAAACAGGAAGATGGATAATGTCCAAGAGGCCAATAATTGCACTATTTCAATATTTCATACAGGATCTAAACCACAAGTTTCCAATCAAAAATTCAATTGCATTCTACTGGAAAAAATCCCTTTGTTTCTGTGGATTCGGTTTAGCAGCTGAAATGATGCCAGTTTCGAAACTCACATTAAACTTGGATTATAGTGCAATGGTCTGAACAATGTCTGCAGAGGAAACTTATTGGGCAAACCTTTCACACGAATGGATTGTACGGGCAGTTCAATTAGCAATGCGATCCCTCAAGCAGAGGTTTCCCTGATTGTTATTCGAAAGTAACATGGCAATATGTAATCGGTTTTAAGGGAACACACAGCGGCTGAACCAGCTGTTATTACATAAAAACTGACGAAACAAACTCCAGCACACCCCAAAATTTCGCGATCGATTGGTTATAATTTCTATTTCGTACTGAGAACCTCTCTGGTTAGAAACTCAGCCTGATGGCCGCCTAGCCTTACCAATATTTTCTGCAGTGTTACTTCCTTGTTTCAGACAAATTATTTGATAATACCTTAAACAACATATGAAACTTATTAGAGCCGTATAAATGTGAAGTTATCCCTGTACTTAAGAAATCAAGCACTACGCCTTGAAGACGTATGGGCCGTGGATTTACAGACCCACGTTTTCTTGATCTCGGCACTAGTTTGATATTGTCAGCTTCACACCCCGGCCGCTTTACCATTGGGGAAATTGCCCCCGGTACTCATTTGATAGGAGGCTGGGTGGGCCCTAGAATCGGCTTGGACGTCATGGAGAAGTGAAAATTCTTGTCTCCACCGAGACTCGAAATCCGATCCCTTAGTCGCCCAGCCCTGCGCTATCCCGGCTCTCTATTAGGGCCACATAACATGCAAAAAATATTAATTTATCCCTGTAATAACCTTTCAACCCGAAAGAAATAAGGGAAGAAATTCACAGGCTAAATACAAAAAGACGCCAGGAGTTGATCTCATCACAGCCACACTACTAAAGGAACTCCAGAAAAAGGGAATACTCAAACTCATGTACATATTCAACTCCATCTTAAGGAATGGCTACTGGCCCAAACCATTAAAAATCGCACAAATAATAATGATTCCAAAGCCTGGGAAAAATCACACTGACGTAACAAGCTACCGTCCAATTAGCTTGTTACCCATAATATCGAAACTTCTTGAAAAGCTTATCCTCAATAGAATTAATCACGACGACAATCCAAATGACTGGATCCCTAATCACCAATTTGGCTTTCGACAGGCACACTCCACAGTACAACAATGCCACCGAATAGCTAATATAATCAACCAAGCTATGGAAAACAAACAATACTGCACTGCTGCCTTCCTCGACGTAAGTCAGGCATTTGACAAAGTTTGGCATCCAGGCCTGCTTTACAAAATCAGAAGAATTCTACCGGCCAAATATTTCGCAATACTGCAGTCGTACCTAACAGACAGAGAATTCGAAATAAAAATCAACGCTGAAGTATCCAACCGAAGAAACATACAATCAGGAGTTCCTCAGGGCAGTATCTTGGGTCCACTCCTCTACGTGCTATACACCTCAGATATACCGACCACCGAATTAACAAAAATAGGTACGTTCGCAGACGACACAGCAATTTTCGCTACGTCAGAAGACCCGGTAATTGCTTCATCTAATTTACAAGAACATCTGAATCTAATGGAGAAATGGCTACACCGATGGAAAATCAAAGTGAATGAAAGCAAATCGGCGCATGTGACTTTTATTCTCAGGAAGGGCAACTGCCCCTCAGTACATCTAAATCATGTTAACATTCAACAACAGGATGTAGTAAAATACTTAGGACTACACCTGGACTCAACATTAAACTGGAAACACCATATAGCGAAGAAGAGAAAACAAATCGAAATTAAGTTCAAGGAAATAAATTGGCTAATAGGTCGGAAATCTCACCTAACAATAGATAATAAACTACTGATCTACAAAACAATAATTAAACCCATATGGACATACGGCATTGAGCTCTGGGGATGCGCCAGCAAATCCAACATAAAAATCATCCAGCGAAGTCAATCCAAAATACTTAGAGCCATAGTTGACGCACCTTGGTACGTGTCAAACCAAACTCTTCACACCGACCTCAAGATCCCATATGTAAGAACCGTAATCACAGACAGAATCCAAAAACATTATCAGAAACTGGAATCTCACCCCAACAACGCAATAGAAGCTCTCCTTCAACCTACACAATACAGAAGACTAAGACGAACTTGGCCAAACGATCTCCAGGAAAGCTGAGGCGTAATCGATGGATTACAGCTCTTCAAGCCAACTTAGTACAATAGAATAATTATTGTACATGACAGCAAATTAGCTCATAGAATGCAAATTCCGATTGATAATAAATGATAAATAAAAAAAAATCCCTGTAATTTATGTAATTAAGGCACATGGGTAGTGGAGGTATAGCTACACACCTCGAAAATAGATGGAAAGGAGTAGTCAGCTTCACACTCCTACCGCTTTAGCCCTGGTGATAGGGTCCTCGGTACCGATTGGATAGGAGGTTGGGTGGGACTCAGAGCCGGTCTGGACGGTGTGGAGTAGAGAAAATTTTTTTGACCGTGTCGGGAATTGAACTCTGGTTGTCTAGCCTGTAAGCTAGTCATTTTATCGACTGAATTATCCCGGCTTCTCGTAACAGTCACATGGGCCTACAAAATATAATTTGATTTAGGTCCGGAGTTCAAAGACGCAACAACATGAGAACGAACGCACGGGTCTAAATTCTGTGACACTGTGTCTACCAAAGAGATATCCAATGATCTATCAAATTAGAAGCTTAAGAGAGTGGGAACATACTACGACGTCAACGGTCTGTTAATATCTTCAAGAAGTTTTATTGCCTATGTCGCACATAGAGAAATTCATCTAAACCTACTCATATGTAACACAAAGTAGAGAAATGGACACCACTTACCAGCTGACGCTTTCAAGGGTGTTTGGGTTCGCCTCGTAGGAGCAGAATAAGAAGATGTCGGTGGTCTCGTTGACAGTCACGTTCTCTGGGCTCACAGACACAATGGGAGGATCTGCAACATAAACAAACTTTGGTATCATACCTAACCCTAACATTTGCTTCATGCACCTCGTTCCTAGCATTCTGCTGACTCTACAACATATACAACACAATTCTTCATGTTATTCTGTTATGACGATAATTTTATGAACACTTCTGTGACATAGCGCTAACTAGTTCATTAAAGTGAACAGACGTTTCAGAGGAACATCGTCATGATCGAAGAATAAGGCAAGCGAGAAACCAGCACGAAGCAGGTAGCAGGCAGAATTCTGCTTAACTTTTTTTCGACCCTGAAGATGTACGCGCAATGTTCGTGTGAAGCGTAGGCTGATTTTCAAAGAACTACACAGCGTTATGTGCCGTAAGTCTTCACATCCACCTCTGCGAGAGCTCCAGAACCTAAACTATTTTTGCTAGTGCTACAATAATCGTAGTTGGTTCTCTCGTTTGAAACATGTCAGCCGAAATGTCTTTCTTTGGGGGAGGGGGAATTCTACTTACGATATAATTTTGAATATATCAGTACAGAATGATGCTGCCACTGTACAAACATCTAGGGACCCTATCAGATATGCGCTATCCTACGTCAGCCCGAATCCAGATACTGGATTAAAAGTTGAAGACTGCGACAGATACTACGTTTATAGGAAAACCTAAATTTTAAGGTAAATTTTGATAGAATATTTCATGTGATATATACACTATATTATTATAGATACTCTGTCAGTAAGGGGACACGCGGTAGCGTAGTAGCTTGAGCCACTATGCTACAAGCCGGAAGATTCCAGATTCCAGATGAGGTCGCTGAATCTTTTAAATTTATCTAATATTTCTAGCCGCCATATGACCCTAGGGTCGACTCAGCTTCTAACAGCAATGAGTACAAGGAATATTTCTGGAGCGTAAGAGGCGGCGGGCGCGTAAGGCTGACAACCTCACTGCCATCTGTGAGCCGACTGTCTAGAAGATGTTGGAGCCTCGACGTCCCCAACCCTATGGGTCTTCACGGCCTGTTACAGGGACAGCTTTAGCTTTTCTTACCCTCTCAGTAAGAAGAAACAAATTAACAGAGAAATTCTTACACAGTATAACTGTACTGCTCACTCATGAAGATGACCCCTCTTCAGAGGCCGCAAATTATGTAGTTACTCAAGAATTTCCTAGCATTTGTGGAATCCGAAAGTTCATTTTCCTGTTCACAAGAGCTTTCCACTGGTCCCTATTCTGAGCCAGATCGAACCAGTCCATACCACCTTATCTATCCCTCTAAAATCCATTTCAATATTGTCCACCCACATACAGCTTGGCCTTCCTAGTGGTCTCTTTCCTTTTGGCTTTCCGACCAATATTTTGCATGCAGTCCTCTTCGCCCCATTCGTGCTACAGCAAAACTGTGCTACTGCAAGCAAACAATCAACATACTGAACGAAAGCCTGAAGTGCAGCAGACAAAAATAAAGCGACCGAGCTTATTCTTTAAAAATATCATCTGTTTGTTAGTTATTTTGAAAGAAGAACTCGTAGAAGATTAAGCAGATGCATAGATTCGTGTGCTGGTTTCTTGTCCTGTACCTGTGTTTGATGCAGTCATTTTACTGTGAGTTGTTTCTCAGAGATAAATTGACCTAAAAATGATGCAACTGTTGTAACACAAGACCTTAATGAAGTGTTTTAATGGCGACAGTATGTTTGCTGGCAAACACACTACCTGTCTCTCTCTCTCTCCTCTTGTAGCAGACGACCAGAGTAAATTGGTAGCTCCTACATAAGAAATCTCTTCGAAATTTAAAAATACCTTTCGCTGCAAATGGAAGATTTTAATTAAATGAAATATAATGACTTCTAGGGCCTCAGAAAAGTAAAATAGGGATGCATGCGGCCTTCGGTTCACTTTTTTTTTTCCTTGGCACTACAGCCCCAGTGGGCCTAGGCCTACTTCCATGAACTTCTCCGTTCACTTCGGTTTTTCTAGATCTTACACATTCAGTAGGACTCTTTGGGAGGGTGATCAGCTCGTCGCAAGGGCTCTACCTGTACACAAACACAGAAAAACGCACACACACACAAACTAAACATCCATGCCCTGAGTGGGATTCGAACCCACGATCCCGGTTTCCAAGCGAGCGAAGAGAGTACATGCCTTAGACCGCTCGGCTACCGTGACCGGCTTCTGTTCACTTAAGTAAGATAAATGTGAAGACTATAACAAACGTTTTTATCCGTCACAACACAACAACTCTCAATAGGCTCAATCACATCAAGTTGTGTATAGTGAGTTTACTGATCTTAGTGGCACAACTTGCTACATGTTTCGGCTTACTGAAAACCATCATCGGGAAAATATACACGAATATCAATTTTCTTAAACTATTGAATTCCCTTTCGCATAAGCGTGTGTATTACATTATTACAATTTTCAATATATTTTATTTTACAGGTAGGCAACACATTCGACATGTCAGATATTCATTATGTCTTAAAACATATCAAAAAGTACTAAATCTTGGGGATGTTTACAAGTATTCATGAATATATTATAAAATATATATAATAAGTTAATATTTTTTACAATTTTAGAATTATAATATAACAATACACTTAGATGTTTTGTGTTATCTCGTTTAGTCATGTAATATCCTCTTTCTCATCAATGTTAATTACTGCAATCATGACGATGTATCAAGTAGTGACTTATGAACATTGTTTTGAATATGATTTAGTTTTTATTTGTTTTCAGTTTCTCCAATGAGGCGGTAGCGCTTTTTTGGGACTGATGTTTCATTTTAGGTCTTTTTATTTTACGAGTTTTCTGTGTTTCAACGTTCAGCTTTCGTTGAAAATCTGATTGCAATCTAACATTCAACGAAAGCTGAATGTTACAATCTGTCTTTTTATCCAGTAAGTTTGGACTAGTCCTGGGGCCCTCGCAGCCTCCTTTCCAGTGGGCACGAGGGACCCTTTCTTCCGAGGTAAAGCGGTCATCCCCAAGTAATGCTAGTTTGGAATACGTGGAGCCCTACCTACACAACCGCTACATTTTCATAGTACGATTAAGTGCAGGGATGATTTTGCCTTATCTTAGGGCTCAGTTGAGGAAAGAACGTTTTCTTTATTATGGCTGTAACTCAGCTGGTAAATGAATTATCTATGAATTCCGAAGGTTTGTTGATGTGCTCAAGAGAGACCACCACTGGCCCTGCCTTGGGCCACATGAAGCCGATCTACATAAGAATATCATACATTTGTATGGCACACCTTATTATTATCAAAAATGTTAACGCTATTTCTTTAAAGAAAATTATATTGTCATGAACTGGCCCCAGCGGGATATAGTATATCCCACAATCAACAGAGACATTTTATTTGCTTGAGATTAATGAACAGAATTAGCTTAGTAAATCAGCTAAAACATAGATGTCTCCAGTTAAAATAACATTTTGAAAGAGAGCCATTACCTCTTCACTTCTATATGACTAATTTACTATGTTCTCTTGCGCGAATAATACAGATTTAGAATTTGTACCTAGTAGAAGCTTACACTGCCGGTCACGGTAGCCGAGCGGTCTAAGGCATGTACTGTCTTCGCTCGCTTGGAAAACCGGGATCGTGTGTCCGAATCCCACTGATGGATGTTTAGTTTGTATGTGTGCGTTTTTCTGTGTTTGTGTCCAGGTAGAGGCCTTGCGACGAGCTGATCAGCCCTCCAAAAAGTCCTACCGAATGTGTAAGATCTAGAAAACCCGAAGTGAAAGGAGAAGTTCATGGATGTAGGCCTAGGCCCACTGGGGCTGTAGTTCCAAGGGGGAAAAAGAAGCTTAGACTAATGTATTAAGGGACAATGCTTCAGATGTCAGCAATTCCACAGTTACTAGCCCTATGTTCTTTTGCATGTAACTAATTGGTTACGTGTAGCAGGCATTTAAACAATGCAAAACATGACTCAAGAGCTAGAATGACAGGGGGAAGCATGTTTCGAAGGAAGGGAGGCACAAACAAACAAAAATCTAATATTTTGTTTTCTCATCCGAAATCGTATCACGTAGCCTTATAATATGAAATATCTGCATGAAATCCTTCTCGCGTTATTTCCACAACAAGTAATCCCCGGAACTGGGAACATTTTCAAAATGTTGACAATGCTTTATGCGACCCATAACGTTAACATCCCCAGGTTGCATGATACGCATGGAATGAGAACAGGGCGCCGGGAACTTTTAATCATGACGTGGGGTGTACGAGGTGGGAGGTGGGAGTGCTTGTTCTCTAAAACACAGGTTCTCGTTGTTCCCCTCCCACCCCCACCCCCCCTCGCTCCACTACCGAGTCCATGCCATGGATCTGAATGTGAAATGTTTCGGAGTAGAGAGGGGTGGGGTTAGTGAGCGGACCTCATACTGATGCCCTACAGTACAGGCCATGCGGCGAGATTAAAACCTTGCAATCCAAAATCTGAATTCAGTTTGCTTTACATATATGTTACGCATGCCGCCCCCAAACATACATCTTCTTGTGTAAAGGCCAGCGCATCAAACCTGAGTTACAATTGTCGTTGGGTAAAAATGCAATTGTGGTTCCCTAGCAGCATCAGCCCAATACCGCCACGCACACCTGGACATTATCGCGGTCCTCGTTGCGCTCTTACCTACATGAGGAGAATACCATAATGTTTCAAAGTGTGGTATCCTAGGTTGTGACACCGTGTGTAGGTGGATACCAGATTTTCGAAGATACGATCTAAAATTTCGTGACGATGGCATATTGACACAATGACTAACCTTTTTTTTTGGATATTAATTATTGCCCTATGTTTATTTAAAACAATATTTAGTAGACTAGACCCTGTCTACGTCCTCTGGTAAAAGTCCTACTCAGTTGGGTCCAATAGAGCTAGCCGCTATCTCTGGAATGAGTAGTTTTTTACCTGAGGACGGAGACAGAGCCCAGACTCCGAGACCTTTTAGAATCTGAGTTTCTCACAGTGGTGTTTACCAAGAGTTTTATCGTTTGGGAT